GACAATGGGGTAAACGATTAGAGCTATTTGATACCATGGCACACACGGCAGAGGTGTGGCAGAGTGCAACGAGGCCGCCGATAAATTGGCTAAAGTTCAGTCAGGACACTGGCACCTCACTCGGCACAGGACCTTTTTGCGGCGTATCAAACGGCCAAAACTTACATCCATCAAAATGTGGGTTAAGAATATGTACAAGCTGACAGCAGAACTACTAAACCACTAGAGTATTACGACTAGAGGCTTTGGGTTCTGGTAAAAAGCACAAAGTTAATGAAGGACTGTGTGGAGATTAGTGACCGTTAATCGATGATTATTCAGAAATCGTGAGATGCGGTCTGGTGATAGCCGCGTCACCAGACCGCATCTCACGATTTCTGAATAATAATTAATGAAAGACTTAGACAAGGATGACTATTGCACAATATATCAATATTGATTGTCGTATGCAGGAGAATAAAGACATGACTCTTTTTGACGTTCAACCTTTTCCTTGTCTCATTCTTCACGGGTGCTCCTTGAATCCTTGATGCCAGTGTTGAAAAGCCGGAATGAGTCTGACAGACATCTTCAGTTTCATTAGATGTGTTATAATTTTAACATTTTATACCCCGTGTTAAACCTGAATTTTGGTAGTTTTCTCTTATTTTGGCCTGCCTATTTCGCTGTTGTGGTCCGACGCATTTGGCAGTCTTAACTGCGCGATATCAAGGATATAAGCAGGGAGAGGCAGACTTTCCCTTCTGCACGAAATTGACCTCGGTATTTCATAATGAATAGTTGTAAACTTTTTAATAAGAACCATTGTATGTAACTTTAAAAACCCGTGTATATCAGCCACGGGCAAGTCTGACCTAGAGATTCATCACCCCGCAGACCTCAAGAGGATGGCCAAACAATTTAATGTCTATTCGCCTTTGGTCGAATATGACGATATCTTTCTAAATGTGAAATAGTCTATAAAAAATTCTTAGATTCGTCGTTTCCGATTATTTTGGACCAAACTGAAGGAAAACGGCCAAATTACACGTTCGTAACCCTGAAGACTTCAGGATGAGGTCATTCAACTCAATATTCACTAGCCTTTCGTCGCATATGGCAAGATAGAACCATTTCTAAGTTTAAAATAGTCTATATACGACTTTGTTGATTGTTTCCTATCATTTTGGGTAAAGCGTGATGTGAGGGCTATAAACAGGGAAAGGCAAGCGCACAGACCCATCATTGATGTTGACGGAAAGCCTAAACGCGCTCGATAGATCAAAATATCAAAATATATAAGGCCGAAAAAAATGAAAAAAACGACCAAACTACAAAAAGAAATGTTCCGCTAGGAACGATTATCCTAAATCATCAATTGTCAAAATGTAAACTTTTAAGGTTTTTTCTCTTGCTTACGTTAAAGTGTTAGCCACGTTTCGACATTTCGTAACGTTTATTGCAGAACATCAAGGATATAAGCAGGGAGAGGCATGTGTACAAACCCTGCCGACAGGATAAAACAGCGTGGATATGAAGGCCAAACATATCGGAACTGACCAAACTACCACATAATATATTGGCTGAATGGCTGAATAAGGTAGAGTTTGTGGAAAAAGTATTTCGATTTCTAAATATGTCGACAATTTTAAATTTTCCATTAATACACCTGCCATTCGACAATTGCCTCTCAACAGGAACGTCGTTAGTTTATAGTTCTTAGTTTTGAATAAAATAGAAAAACAATCAATACCAAAACAGACCCTTTTTATGTGCCTCACTACTACAGAGTAGTATTTACGAACTGGCATTTCTTCAAAACACTACAGTAGGTCATTTGACAACCTTGGTTCACAAAAGGAGGGGCCAGATGGTATGGAAGCAGTTCAACACGTGCAAGCTAGCTGGATTAAACGTGACGTAATGTAGAGTTCGTTTCTAATAGGTTTGCAACGTCCTCTCTTTCATTAGGCGAAGATGCTAAAAAAGAATTGCCTGAGTGTTCAGCGAGAGTCAAAAATCTTAGAACTAGCTCAGTAAACGAGTCATTAGTTAGATTACCGTCTGATTTTTACAGAAGCTCTAATATAAAGTTTATTAGGCATAGATTGTAAGCCAAATAGGCTAAATAGCTAAATAAGCAAGTCTATTTTGTCAGATTTCCTCTAGAGGAATGTGAAGTGATGAACCTATAGTTTGGTCGTAAAGACCCGATTAAACAAAAATTAAAAAGATCCACCACTGAAGATGTCAAGAAACCAAAACGCGCTTGGCAGGCCACAACAGCGAGGATAGTAATACTAATAATAGAAAGTCCGATTCAGTTAATCTGACAGACATTTTGAAAGGACGGCTGCATCACCCAAACAATAACTCTTAGGCAGATTAAGATTGAATTCAGTCATTTAAATTCAATATCATTTAAATGCCACTAATCCGTTATTTATCTATTATACAGGGACAATAAAAAAAGGGGCCAATTCCAGTTATTTTAAAATCATATCATCGATCCTTTTCTGTTCGTGACCTTTTACATTGTTTCGTATCTTTTTAGAACAGTGCATTATCCATTGACTTTTGAATATTAAACGACTTCCTTTAGATGCGTTGTATGCGACGGGTGGAATTTCTGCACCGTGAATTTAGCAGATTGCAGAGATTATATTTCGCTTTTTGGGAAAACTGAAACGCTTTGATCCATTGAGGCAAATCGGTAATTAGAACGATAGAATCCTTCCCCAGGCTCGAGAATTCCTTCTCAGATTTTCTCACTAAATTTCTCCTGTAACAATAGTCTTGATACTATTACAGCTGGTCGAGTTGATAACTTTTGAGCAATACTTAATTTGTTATTTTATTATAAAATCTTTTGCGGTCTAACTTTACTAACGTACTGATTTTAGAAATTATAAACTACATAACTGAATGAAAAAATTATGATACTAGACGAAAACTGAGCTGTGGTTAACGTTTAGTTCCGTTAATCGTTCAGTTTCCAATCTGGATTCAGGTTAACTGAGCGTATATTTAAAAAAAATGAAGAAACCGACCGAAATGTCTCAATCAGTTATTCCTTCAGTTTATTTGTCCAATTTGGAGACACTTTGCAGCAGACCAAGTGTATATGAATCCTAAAATGTACAAACTAGCAGACAAACTGAGCTGTATATGTCCCTAAAATGGACAGACTGGACGAAAATCTGCGCTGTGGCTTTATCCCTCTGATCTGAATTCACTTTAACCAACAAACAAACTGAGCATGCATGGAATACGAAAAAATGAGATATTGTAAAAAAATTGAGTTGTGGTTAACGTTTAGTTCCATTAATCGTTCAGTTTCCAATCTGGATTCAGGTTAACTGAGCGTATATTAAAAAAAAAAGTTATTCCTTCAGTTTATTTGTCCAATTTGGAGACACATTTCGCAGCAGACCTGATGAATCCTAAAATGTACAAACTGAGCTTGTTTATGTCCCTAACATGGTCACACTGGACGAAAATCTGCGCTGTGGCTTTATCCCTCTGATCTCGATTCAGTTAAAGCAACAGATAAACTGGGCATGTATGGAATACGAAAAATTGAGATATTGGATAAAAACTAAGCTGTGGTTACTCACGCTCAGTTCGGTTAGTGGTTCAGTTTACTTTTCCGATCTGATTCAGGTTAACTTTCAACTTTTTTTTTGTATGGAGCTCTAAAAACAGAGAAAATGGACAGTGGAGAAACAACAAAAACTGAGCTGTTGTTACACGTTCAGATCAATTAATCATTAAGTTTGTTTTTCTGATCTGGATAGGTTACAGGTATACAGACTGGGCGGGTGTGATCATTAAAAATGGATAAACTGGACGGAAAACTAAGCTGTGGTTACTCAGTTTGGATTCTTCTGATCTGTATCAGGTTAACTGGCAGATAAACTGAGCGGGTGTAGAAAACACTAAAAATCGTAAAACTTTACAAAAACTGAGCTGAGGTTACGCAGTTTGGATTCTTCTGATCTGGATCAGGTTAACTGGCAGATAAACTGAGCGGGTGTACAAAACACTAAAATAGGAAAACTTTACAAAAAACTGAACGTGTGGTTACTCGGTCAGTTCAGTTAATCGTTCAGTTTAGATCAGAATTCACGACTAACAAACTGAACGTGTCTCTAAATTAGGGGAACTGGACGAAAAACTGGAGAGCATAAATGAAGAACCCACTATATTTTCCATTTAATCCCAACTTTAGTTGTATTTTGTGAAAACCATGTCGACCTTATAGATAGCTGTCCCAAATGTTTATTACCTCTTTATACCCTCCGTTTCTACCTAACGTCCACTAGCAGCTGCTTGATCTCCATTTCGTATTAAGTTTAACACATGCTTCTGCAGAGGTTTGAACTTACAATAAACATTGTAACTGTGAGTTTTTCATACAGTAATTGTATTTGGCCCAATCGGGCACAATACTGCAAGAAAAGGGAATGTGCGGACGGTGCAGTGTGGTATCAGCCACACCTCCAGCTTCCGAGCAAGCGATTAAAAGATCTCCAAGGTCTTCGCCGAGGGCCCAACAACTCGGAACCAGTCGGACCTGCGTGGGTCGACAACCTTGCCCACTCTATCAATCATTAATACAAATTTTCTCTCTGCAGAAGAATTGTTGCCAACATGTCTTTTGCCAACTGACAAATGGATCCTTTCGTCGACTTGATTTTTGCCGTACAACTTTTTCAACAAACGTGTCAGCGTAACAATATGTGCTGATGAACATCCTTTTGTTCTTTTTTTTTCTTTTTTTTTTGTTCACTCCGCCCAGGAAATACACCTTAATTCTGGACACAGATCACAGACACCTTCAGGAATATGAGAATTTCAAGTGTCTAGTGTATTATATATATATATATATATATATATACCATACATAAACCTACAAAAAAATCTTGTTAATACCATTAGATAACTTATCGATTTATGAAGATTAATATATTGTTTCACTTACATTTGATTAATCTATTAATACTTATTAGACGAATTAATACTGATTGTTTAATGCTTTATTCGTTGAATTCTAACATAGTTATCACTCTTTGCGCACCCCACTGTTTTTCTACACGTTTCCTGTCGTGATTACACGTACTTCCTTGGGAAAATAATATTAAATCATTCTTTTATCCGTAATCGATAATTAGGCCATCATATAATATCTATGTATGCCAGTGTTTGGATGTAAAATTTGTGCATTTTCGTGACACGTCTTCATTCCGTGATGTCGCACAATCAACAATGACAATTTGCATAACGAGAGTTTGTCAAAAGTACAATAAACCTGTCTGCTTCCTGACCCCTTCAGGGTTTTCATTATTTTTTAAACTATTCCGTACGGATCACGGATGAAGAAGACTTTCTTATATAGTATCGTGAGAAAACCAATAATGGTGATATCGTGACCACCTGCAAAGAAATTTTGTTTACATTTACCTATGAGATTTGATAGTTTTTGATTGTTTGAGTCTATCATAATAATTGTGCTCTATCGACACTACATTACCCCTCCACGATGTCAACTTTGGATAGTGTACTCTTGACTTTCCCTTGAAGTAAGGAATTGTATTCTGGCCACGGTCAGGTCTAACCTGTACATGATGATAAAATTTAATGTTTACTCCCATTGAAAACATATGGCACCTAATTGTTTCCATTCTAATATATCTATTCTATTCGTCGTTTCCAGTAATTCTGGACCAAAATTATAAGAAACGACCAAATTTAGGTTGATAACCCTTAAAACATCAAGATTAGGTAACACGATTTAATGTTTCCTCGCCTTTGGTCGAATAAGGAAACATAAAAATTTTAATATGTTCAATTTCTGTTTACAATAGTTTACATAAGAATTTCTAGATTGTTTCCTGTAATTTTGATAGAGCTTGTTGTAAAGGTAATAAGCAGGGAGAGGCAAGCTCACACTTACCACTCAGAGGCAGAACGATCGAGGATAGACAATCCAAAATCATGGGAATCGGCCAAATTACAGATTCAAAACCGTACAGACTTCAAGATGACATCATACATTTTAATGATTACTCGCCTTCAGACGCATAAGGTAAGATCAAATATTTCTAAGTTTAAAATAGTTTATATAAGAATGTCTAGTGTTTCCTATCATTTTGGTAGAGCGTAGTATAAGGCTATAAGCAGGGAGAGGCACTCGCACAGACCAACCTCTGAATTAACGTAACGTGTCCAGCAGATCAAAATAGCTAGATAAGCTAAATGAACGGCAACCAAACTTCAAAAAGAAAAGTTCGCCCAGAAACGATCATCCTCGATCATCATTTAATTGATAATTTCCAAAATGTAAACTTTTCCCATTCTACTTTTCAAGTTTCTACTTATGTAAAAGTGATTGCCAAGGCATTTCTAAATGTTCATCGCAAAACATCAAGGATATAAGTAGGGAGAGGCAGGCGCTTAAACACATAACTTAAATTTGTGAAAAGCCTTGATGCGTGCGAAAGGTCATATAACAGAGAGGATAGGCAGGCTAAAATGATCAGAAACAATGGAATACGTTCATCACCCAATTTTAGTATTTGAAACTACTTTCAGACGTTTACGTTCATCCAAATCGGACCTTATAAAGATTTGTGTAGTCCCTGGTAACCTTGCTGTAATTCCGCAATCACGGCCGCTTTTGTCTTTTGTTCTTAGTTGCGTTTTCCTTAGGAAAGCAATTTCCCTAGGTCCGTACACTTTTGAGACTTGGAGACCTGACGACTTCTTATTCCCAGGGCTTGGGCAACAACGCTAATAAGTGGCGGATTGCATAAGTTTGAACATAACACCATTATTATATGCAGAAATGGAGGGAAGAAAATATAGTTTCGAAACTGATGTGTTCCAGTTTCTCACCTAGAGAAGAAAAATCCGTTCGGTGCTTATGCTCAAAAGAATAATTAAGAAATCCTTAGATTGATTAGTAGTTAGTACAATCAGTACAACCTATTCTATTTTTCTAACCCTACACAAACTGATAAATAGAATTGATTTTAGACACTGAAATTCAGCTGACTTCTAAGAACTTTAAACATTGTTTAATTCATAATCACAGTTGTGTAATAACAGGTAAACATCCCTATGAAAGGATGATCTAACAAAAGCAAGTTGATAATTGCCGCGCTTTCGGTGGTTATATCACCATCGTCTTAGCTATTCAAACATAGATGTAATATACTGAAATTAAGATATTCAATTGCCTCTTACGAATAAGAGGCCTAGAGAGAGGGGCCAATTTTAAAAACAATTATTTCATCCCTCTTAAGAATCTGCCTGCTATGACACCAGTTGAGATCAGTTAATTTTAATTTTCTCGAAAATAATTTATTTTACGGACTGGATGCAGTGTTATAAATTATTTTTCCTGAAACACAAATACCAGATCAAGACTAGATATTATGAACCTAACGTCTCTTAGAGATGAAAGGTTGGTCGTACACGATGATTTTTGTCTGTCGGGTACGTTTCTCCTTTTCGCCATTTTCAATACGCGGCATCAAGGTTATAAGTAGGGAAAGGCAGACACATTAACAGCCACCAGTACTGACTACTGTGCCTGCCTCTCCCTGCTTGAAAACTTATCGCCACGAACCACAAAAATGTTTTTAAGATGACAAAAAACCCAAACGGTTTTGCAGACATCAAGCTAAGCATAAATTTCACAACCAAATATTTTATATTGCTACCTAGACATTTTTTAAGTTTGTAAAAAAGTAAATAATTACATAATTCGTAATTTTAATTGCAAATGTGTTGAGATAAAAGGTGATTTATGTAATCCATTATCATAAATCCTATCTTTTCGATTTTTGAATATGACAATAAGTAATCAAAATAAACCAAGATAATCTAGCATTTCAGTCCTACAATAAACTATTGTTTATAAATGTGATTCCCTCCCAGATCTAGAGATAATTAAAATATAGAATAAAATTTAAACTGTTTGAAATAAGTGTTGGCATTTCTAAATTTTGGCTCGGGACTAATTTTCCTGGGCATTTTCCACTATTACGAACTATTGAACTGTTATATCAAGATGGAATGGAATGACAAGACAAAATTTTTATTACAAAACCATGTATTAAAACATAATACTCTCCAATATGATACAATTACAATTTAGTATCCCTCGAAATTCTTACAAAAAGCATTTTTTTTAATATTAACATTTAGGTATACAAAATCCACTGGCAGTGGTTGTCAAAGATCATAAAAAAGTAATAGGAGGGACACGACATATGAAATCTTTTTTTTTCTTTTTTTTAGGTGTGTATGTGTTTTTGTGTGTGTGTGTGTGTGTTGTGTGTATGTGTACACACTACTATACACATGTTCTTTTTATAAAAACTTTACACAATGTACAGTAAAAATAATAATACATTTGAAAAATAAAGAAACTAATATAATAGCACATAATACAAAATGTATAAAATATTTACACTTTTCATTTTTCCATTCCAAGAAACACACTGACTATGTGCGATTATTTTTTGTATTTACCCCTTAGTAACTTTTTTTCGATTTTTGTTTGTATTTTATTGGGTCATGGCAAAATCCAAGTGAGATCTAAAAAAATGTAATAAAGGCGACTATCATATATATATATTTTTTAATCTTAAAACGCGGAATCTCAAAAATTAGCTCTGTTCAGTTGTAAACAAAACAACCTTCGCTTTCCCTTTAGGCCTTTTCGTGTTTTTTCCTTCTTTTGAATAAAATATATTAACAATACGACAATTTATCAATCACAACAAATCTTTGGTCTTTCCATCCCTCAGGGTCGTCCTCGCCAATTCTTGAAGAAAATCGAAGGGAGTGTCCAATCTATTTTCCTTTCCCACGGTGCTTTTACCATTTTTTTAAATTCTACAGGCAATTTATTACCATTTTATATTTATTGTAAGTGTTCCATAAGACCAACTTTACAACAAGGTAGCTTCATCCCTGTGGTCCACACTCTGTTTTATTACATATAAAAGATATGTTCAATTACTGCAATGTTAAAGTGTTTGAATAAATTTTTTAAAAGAACGATTTTATAAGTTAATTAATTTTGACTTTTGATTGAAAGTTCGTGACAATTTTAAAACGTATATAAATGTACATTCACATTTGTGTCGCCTTTTTTTATAATTTTTTTTATATTTTCCCTTTTAAATTCTTCATAAAGCAGACTATTAAGTTTTTCTCCTTAATATTATCACAGTTTACAATTAAAGAAACTTTTTTTTCAATTTTGATTCTATTTTTTGTTTCATCTACTGCTGATTTGTTGTAATTTCAAAAATAAAAAATATAAGAGAATGTAGGCCATGTAGACAAAACAAAAGTTAGGCCAGATGTGGTTCGATTTAAAAATTATTTATAAATTTCCATTAAAAAAAGATCAAATTTACCTGTTATACCTGTTTAAATTTGAATTACAATTCAGTACAATTTTTTTTTTTTTCAAGGAAAATATTTCTTATATATTGGTATTTTCTTTCAACCACCCAAAAACTTTTCAAGAATGATTAAAACAACGTTCAAAATAAAAATCACATATAATAATAAAAAAATCTTCGACAAAAACAAAAAAGTTGGTACATATATTTCAGTCTTTCTTTATAAAAAATCTAATCGCTTTTCCTCTCACCCTACAAATTTCCAAAAAAATCATTTGTCTGAAAAAATACATTTTATTGTAATGCGAAACTGTCAATTTAGCTTTTGATAAAAACCCCACAATTTTTTTCTTTTTTTTTTTTTTTGTACAAATACCATCCAGTAAAAACGGGGCAAATGGACACGGATCGTTTATTGATTAATTTTTAAAAAGGAAGCGAAAATCTTTCCCTGTATATAAAATAATACTCATTAAAAAAATTTCTACTTTTCCCCACAATTGACAAAATATTTACATTTTTATTGAAAATCTCTTCCCTGGCTGTACACAGACACTATCCCAACAAAGAAAACAATTTATGGGTCAAACTGTTTTTTTTTTTAAATTAGAACACTCGTTTTTAGTGAAATTTTGTGAAATCTCGTTCAAAGGTACGGATATTACAAAAAAAACTAAAAGATATAATTATTATTTGTTTTTTGAATCATACAGGTTTAATAAATTCTAGGGAAGCGAAATGCGTCATCACTGAGCGACGATTCCCGTTTGAAATCAAGATAACCTTTCCTAAAAGAGATTTTTTTTTTAAATAAAACCTTAGATTTTTTAAAAATTTAAAATTGTAAATTCGAAAACTCATCCATCGAACCCCCTTTTGATATCTAGCGCGATAAGATTTCGAATAATTATTGTTTACTTTTGTCTTTAGACTCGGGTCGAGGACAACAGGCTACTCCATTCACTGACAATCACAGAACAATTGGTCGAATATAATTTAGGAAGTTTTAAATTTTGAATTTATTTTTTCGGTTTTTTTCCATTTTCCGTTGTGATTTTGAAAACGGTTTTGGTATAAAAAAAATTTGCAACGTCTAGGCGTGGAGATTAATAAACCCCCACCCACATGAAAAAAAAATTAGAGAATAAATGTGAAATGTTATAGATAAGTGTGAAAATTTAAAAAGTTAATTTAAATGTTTAACAGTAAAAACAATTTTAATAAAAAGATGTACTGAATTTAAAAAAAGCTCTGTGAGAAATGACTATTTTGTGAGTGGGGGTGGACATGATGAGCATCGGATCGAGAATGCTAATAAACCTGGATTGATTTGATTTTTTTTTGTTTTTTAAGAATCAATGTACAAACATAAAACGATATTTCCCCCGTCGTTTCTTATAATGGAAATGAAAAACAAACAAAAAGAAGAAGACGAAATCGACTGTTTGAAAACTAACGAGTGATTATTATAATAAAATATTTACAAATTTAGGTAAATAGCTAGATTTGTTTATTTAAATATGTATGTATAAGTTGTATGTATACTTATTAAAACGTATGAATATATGTCCTTTTATAGCACCGTACAACAGCAGTATGTTTTCTTTTCTTTTTCCGGGCTGAAGTTCATTTCTCTGACTATTTCGGCGAACACTTCGTTAACGTTCGTCCTGTTTTTGGCACTGGCTTCGACGAAAGGGCAGGACCAGATCTGGGCGAGGGAGCTGCCTTCGAGGGTGGGCACTTCGCGCTGGTGTTCCAAGTCGACCTTGTTGCCCACGAGGAGTATGGGCACCCTCTCGGACCCTTTGACCCGGGTGATGAGCTCTTTCATCGTCTTTATGTCCTGGAACGTCTGGTGGTTGGTGAGCGAGTAGACGACGACGAAGCCCTGGCCATTTTTGATGTAGAGATCGCGCATACTCGCGAACTGCTCCGTGCCGGCTGTGTCGAGGATTTCGAGGACGCAGGGCGAGTTGTCCACTTCGATCTCCTTCCTGTAAAAGTCTTCGATCGTCGGGTCGTACTTCTCCATGAAGCAGCCCGAGACGAATTGGACGGTGAGAGCACTTTTCCCAACCCCGCCCGAGCCCAACACGACCACCTTGAATTCGCGCATTTTCCGACTCTGGAGCACGACGGAACCACCCTTGTTTAAACACCACACGCCTCGGAAACACTATTTGACATTATAGTCCGCCCCGGAGAAACGGTGACACCACAATTACGACTACCAGGCGATGTCCGACTTGTCCACATCGGTCGCCATCTTTCACGTTCTCTCCACTCGACTTTTCTGGCTACCGTCACCGGGCAAGACTCGACTCGATTCGAGAATCGTCCGACACCAGCGCCCTCTCGCCGCCCCGCTCAAACCACCCGGATACGTCACAATTCAAATCACACCACAACACGATTTTCACATTCATTCATTCATTCTCATTCGTATCAAGAGTCCCACAGATGCTCAATTTGCCGCTTGTTTACATTCAGATCTCAATAATGAACTAAGCTTTGAAATGATGAAGATGGGGTAAGTGTGCAGATATAGAATCAGTTGTTTTTTTGTTCAAGCCCAAGATATTATTTCAAAACAACATCTTGGTTGCCAGGATTCGAAGGTATGAAAAAGCAGACGCACTGGCCTGAGAAGGATCTGCAAGACCATGCATAGGCCCCGACCCTATACTTGCGATGACAAAAACAAATAGTGACTCCTCAATCGCAGAATGGAAAATCCAGATCTCAATAATTAACTGAGCTTAGAAATTATGAAAATGGGGTGAGTATGTGGAACGGATCGGGTGTTTTTTGTTCATGTATTTGGGCAATCAAGTTCATTAGAGAAATACACTTCGGTCTTTCAAACAGAAATACATGCCATTAACGCTTGTGTCCAAGAAAATCTTAAAAGAGTTTACACCGGCAAAAGAAATCTTAACCTAAAGACACGGTTGACAACTTCAATTACGAACTGAAGGATTATTGAACGTCTGAAGCCACAGCTCCCTTTTTTCTAATTTCTCCATTATTAAAAGAGCTGTACAAGCTAAGTTTAGTCTGCTTGCTAGAATCCAGACGTCAAGAATTAACTGAGCTTAGAAATTATGAAAATGGGGTGAGTATATGGATCGGATCGGGTGTTTATTAGGGAAATACACTTCGATCTTTCAAGCAGAAATACATGCCATCAACACTTGTGCCCAAGAAAATCTTAAAAGAGTTTACACTGGCAAAAGAAATCTTAACCTAAAGCCACAGCTCACTTTTTTCTAGTTTCTCCATTATTAAGAGAGCCGTACAAGCTAAGTTTAGTCTGCTTGCTAGAATCCAGATCTCAAGAATTAACTAAGCTTAGAAATGATGAACATGGGCGTATGAAGATTTTGATCAATCAAACTCATTTCGAAAATACACTTCGGCCTTGCAAGCAGAAAGGCATGCCATTAACGCTTGTGCCTTAGAAAATTTTAAAAGAGTTTACACTGGCCAAAAAAATCCTCATATGGTCGGATAGCCAACCAGCTATTAAAGCATTAGCCTGAAAAAGAAATCACAACAAACTAGTCTTGGGTGTCAAGACACACATTTTGGGTGAAGGCAGACACACTGGCCAGAGGAGGATTTGCAAGACCACACATAGGCCCCGAACCTATACTTAGGATAACAACAACAAATACATAATCCTCCATCGCAGAATGGAGAATCCAGATCTCAAGAATTAACTAAGCTGAGAAATGATGAACGTGGGGTGAGTTTGTAAATTTCTGAAGTGGATAAACTCTAGCGGCGCTAGACACAGTAAACATGATGAAATAACCCTTACCAAGATTGGCAAACTCACTGTTGCATTTGGAGAGGGTTGGACTCAGTGGAGTCATAGGACTGCTAACCGGTCACTGGCATCTGAGATAACATCTACACAACATGGGCATATAGAACGATGATCCCATCAGCAGATGAGGTGAAGGAAACAGCCGCCCATATCATCTTCGAATGCGCAGCAACGGCTCAATGGAGATTTAACTTAACATACAGGAAAAACCTAGGAAATGAAATTGTACAGCAACAGACACTGACCTAGTACTTCTGAAAACAAGAATTGAGTCGATTATACTGAACAATGGAACTAGGAAGGTACAATAAGCCAGAAGGGTGCAGTGCCTGGGAAGCACAAACCCCGCTTCCTAGTTTCATCATCATCATGTAGATTCACTTTCTATTCACAAATTTACAACGATCCGGATTTCGAGCATTAAACGCTCATCATCAGGCTAAAGGAGTTACAAACACTTCTCACGACATGAATTACAAGAAAGAACGCTCCAAAGCGACAATGAGAATCTTAAGTAATGCTGCTCAATTTTAAACGTTCGAAAACGAATTTTACACCCAAGTATTAATTTTACATAGGCAATAAATAATAAAAGATGATAGTTTAAACTTTTTAGACGGAAAACTGTCCATAATAAATAACTTAATTGAAATAGACATTTATAGAAAACCCACAACTACAGGCAATATAAGCTGCTGGATTCATTTGGCACATAGGCCGCATGTTGAAACTCCCATTGAATTAATTAATTACAAAAAAAGTATTACAAACCATTGACTTGAGTAGTCGCAGGTGAATAAAACACTGAAAATAGCAAAAAGTTCAAATGCGTCAGGCCAAAACGACCAAACTATACCAGAATCAGGGATGTGGTTTAAATTGAATTATTAAATTACTGTTGTACCTCTGCCATGCTGTCCACTATTTATTCTTCTTTATCAGAAGTGATCATTAATGTAGAAACATATAAAAACCGGGTGAAGGAAAACGAAAAAACGTTACTACAAAAATCGGATTTGTACCAAAATTCTTGAAAATCGCAATTCTGAAAAAGTTGCATTTTTTATATTTACACTTTTACCCAGCGGGTACAGAATTCATTTTTAATAATAGATAGCTAATTGGTAACTTAAATTTTCTACAGGTGAAAGAAAATTGATGGAAATTTGTAGAAAATAAAGATGTGGAAAAGTTTTTACAATCCAGACGAGAAATATCCAACAAAAAAAGAAGCAAGGACGAAAATTGATATTTGTTTTAAGAAAGTATTTGTCACTTTACCAGAATTATGGTGTGAGATTACTCCTTGAGGAATAAGTGATGAACCTATAGTTTAACGCCATCTTCAGTGGTAAATCAGTGTGCCTACCCTTACAGACCTGACAGACCAAAATGATCGTTAACCAACAAACATTAATAATGTTATCGAATCAAAGAGTACATCGTACTGTATCAAGGATATAAGCAGGGAGAGTCAGAGTATAAACTATCGAAAATAGAAAAACCTAAACGCGTCAGGTCAAAAGGGTCAAACTATATTGCTATAACTGTAGTTTTATTTGACATAATTACAAACGTATAAATTTAATTACATTTTCTATTGATTGTCTGCCAAGCTGTCGACTATTTATTTAGTCTTTATAAAAACTGTATACTTATTTGCAAAGACAGAGAGAATTAGAGGACGTAAGTCATAGTGTATGTTTATTAAAAATATATAAAAACCCTGACACCAGGTTTATTTAAAGTTTAGGGATGGTTTAAAGTATGGACTATAAAAAAATTTAAGTCTGAATTTTGAAAAGCGGAGGCACAATCATGCGACGTGGTAGATAGTTGTAGATATCTAGAACTGCGATAAAATTTGTTTTGCTATTTATAAACTGTTGCACAGTCTTTCCGGGGATTTAGACGATCAAATAACGTAAGAAGTAAGAAATTACCTGACTGACAATAAACGTGACGGACCGTCTTATTTTCGTTAATTTATGGCTGTTTTTCTAGGCGATCAAAGCAAGAGATAGACTTTTAAATTTGTCGTTATCAATGTATCAGAATTCACAATCTTATCCAGGTAAAAAAAAAGTATTCCGTTATTTCATTTTTTTGTTTTATTTTTTCTGACAAGTATTTATCAAGTTCATTTTTAATGAGTGTTATCACTGCAGAAATTACCTATTTTTGAAGTATTTTCAGTATTGGTTGTAAGGGTGTGGTCAAGTGTTTATTTTCGGGTAAAACATAGTAATTCTTTATTGAAATGGCCTGGTCCTTATAAAACCACAACCATATGGTTCATTGTAAATCTTAAGAACTTTTTTTTTAAAATACAAAGGTGTAAAACAAACCAGTGATTTTGGCGAATGGCCAAAGCACTTCTAACAGACCAAAGCAGCAAGAATTGGCATGCAAAAATGATCGGAAGGATCACAATACAGGTCCATCACATGGCAGACCTTAAAAGGATTTTTCTCCATGTCATTTTTAGAAATGCTTTGCCAAACCAACCATTCAAGATGATAGCAAGTTTATACATAACTGATAGACCAAACAGCAAGAATTGGCAGGCAAAAATGATCGGAAGGATCCCAATACTGGCCCATCACATGGGAGAAGAATTTTCTCAATGTCATTTTTAGAAATGTTTCATCAAACCAATCACATTCATTATGGTGAGAAGTTGAAACATAAAACATAAAAACGATCTGAAAAGCCCAAATACAGTCACATCATTCGGCAGATCCAAGATGAATTTCACAACATTATTACTACTAAACGCTTTGCCAAACCAAACATTCAAGATGGTAGCAAGTTTATACGTATCTGATAGAGCAAAACAGCAAGAATTGGCAGGCAAAAACGATCGGAAGAATCACAATACAGGGCAGACCTTAAAAGGAATTTCCTCAATGTCATTTTTAGAAAAGTTTTGTCAAACCAATCACACTCAATATGGTGAGAAGCTGAAACACTTCTGACAGACAAAAAAAAGGGTTGGCAAGTAGAAATGATCAGAAAGTTCCAAAATGCAGGCTTGACATTCCACAGACCAGAAGAGTAAATTTGACAAAGATATTTTTGCCAAATGCTGGGTGGAACTAACCATTTAGAGTGAAAAGAAGTTTAAACATATGGGTAGACCAAAACGGGAAGAATTGACACATAAAAATGATCAGAAAAGCCAAAATACAGTCGCTTCATTCAGCAGCCCAAGTTGAAGTTCACAGTGTTATTTTTACTAAAATTTTAACTGCACCAAAACAGCAAGAATTGGCAGGCAAAAATGATTGGAAGGATCACAATACTGGCCCATCACATGGCAGTCCTTAAAATTTTTCAATGTCATTTTTAGAAATGTTTGGTCAAACCAATCACACTCAATAAGGTGAGAAGCTGAAACACTTCTGACAGACCAAAAAAACAAGGGTTGGCAAGTAGGAATGATTGGAAAGGACCAAAATGCAGGCTTGTCGCTACATGACCAGAAGTGTAAATTTCACAAAGATATTTTTGCCAGATGCTCGGTGGAACCAACCATTTAAGGTGAAAAGAAGTTTAAATATATGGTAGACCAAAACGGAAAGAATTAACCCATAAAAATGATAGAAAAGCCAAAATACAGTCGCATATTCAGCAGCCCAAGTTGAAGTTGACAACATTATTTTTTTTAAATGATTCGTGAAACCAATCATTCAAGATGGTGACAAGTTCATATCTATTTGATAGACCAAAACGGCAAAAATTGGCAGGCAAAAATGATCGAAAGGATCACAATACAGGCCCATCACATGGCTGACCCATGACGAATTTCACAATGTTATTTTTACTAAAATTTTTAAACATATCTGATAGACCAAAACTGCATTGCTAGTTCCCATAGTAATTTTTTGTGTGTAAGAATTGATTAAATATTTTCCTTCTCATGGTCTTCAAAATCATACTTCCGAGGATCTTGTTGACAGCCCGATATCTAATAAAATTGCAAACAGAAAATTTTTGTCATCTTATGCTTTAGGTATTTTAGTCAGTGACACGGGCATAATAATTCCCTTTCCAAATAACTAAATATTATTTATTTCTGGATTTATCATTTTGTATATGTGATGATAATAAAATAGTGGTTGACGCACAAACAGTTGCATTGAATCGTGAAATTGTCATCAATATCTCAGAACTGACTTTGTCATAAGATATGCCTGTCAATTACACAAAAACTTTGAAAATAAATTAATTTGTTAATGAAATACATAATTAAAAGATTTAAATACGTATAATTGATTCATTGTTTTGGCTTCTTGTCATTTTCAGTGGTGGTTTTGTTATTTTACTTGTCTTCAACCCCAAAGGATGGACAAGAACAAAGTCTAACGCTGGATTAAGGTTTACCTCGCTATGAGGACTGTAATTCAAATTCCAATAAATAATAGAGTAATTATAAAAAATAATAGAGCTGTTAAAAGCTGGGTAAATGTTTCTTTTTTGATTGATGTGATATTGAATTTACCTATCCTTCAAATTTATTTAGTATATAACAGTTTATTGGAGTTGTAGGACATTGTATTTCATCTGTATATAATCTCTTAATATTGTATTAATGGTTAAAATACCAGATAAGAACATTAGGTTAAAACCTAGTTATAATATATGCTCTTGGACATTCATCCATTGTAAATTGTCATGACAATTATAAATGTGTGTTTTCATTAACAGGATACCCTCCTCCACAAGGATACCCTCCGCCACAAGGATACCCTCCACCACAGGGGTACCCTCCACCACAAGGCTACCATTCATCACAGGGCTACCCTCCAGCAGATGGCTCTTATCCACCACCTGGGTACCAACCTGTACCGATTCAGAATTATCCGCCAGCGCCTGGGCAACAGCTGCTGCAACAAGGTTATCCTCAACCGACGTCGGGTTTTGTCCCACCACCGAATTCTTATCCACCGACTGGTGGAGTTGGAGCTCCTATACAAACACAGCCTGAGCCCAGTGAGTAATAAACGTCTGAATAAAAACAACAAAATTTAGTTTTTTGTTATATTAGTATGATCAACGTAATATACTTAGGATATGCCAGTTTGAATCAACTGTGAATAAGTATAATTTTTTCTAGTAAAACTCTTGTTTAAATTTCATGTGATTTTGAGCTTTTCATAGGCATCAACCTAGAATTTATGAAATGCCTGTGCATCAAGGAAAATAAGTGAATATGTTCACAACTGCAATAACTCTGGGCATTCTTTTTTGATTGTGATTTTTTTGAAGTATTATTTTCCTCTGACTATCATCAGACTTCCAAGGAAAAATTTTATCTTTGTTATATTTCATATTTTTGGCACATATTAAGACAAAATTCTGCAAAATTAATTAGAGTAATACAAAGAACAGGTTTTCATGGGAAACTCCTTGGGAAATCTATCTGGTATCAGGCGGTACCCATTGGGTTGTTTTAAGTTGATTTCATTCTTGATGTTCCATGATTTAATAATCGCAATGATTTTGATGAAGAATCATAGGTGGGTGAAATCTTAATTGCTAGTTATTGTTTCTTCCTGACTTGAACTATTCTTCTTTTCATTTTGTTGTCCTTCTTTATTCCATTATGGATTATTTCAATTAAATTATTTTTATTGAGCCATTTATTGTAAGGAGGTAAATATGAAGAATAAAAATTAGACTTACTTGTGTTAAAATGTGGACATCATTATGCCATAATCATGAACTTTTATTTCTGTAAATAATTTTTTTTATACTTGGAGGACCATTTACTACAATTCAAATCCAGGCAGAGCCCATGGAAATTTAATTGACGATAATATGCAAAAGGTAATTTAAAGTGGTTTTTCATCTGTGACACCCAACAGATTACATTTTTTAATATTTATCATTATCCTTAATAAATGCCTTAATTTTATATAAAATAAAAACAAAATAAAAAAACGTAGAAATGGCAATGAGTCACATGGTTACCCACTTTTTGGATATTATAGTATTGGAATTGTTATAATCATGTTAAAAATGTAAACAGAAATAGACAGTAGTATGGTCAACTGAACAATAACAGACAATGCCTCTCTGAAGATGGCACAAAGTCAAAACATATTTGAATAACATCTAAACCATAACATTATATTTTTTAATATTTATCATTATCCTTAATAATTGCCATAATTTTATATAAAATAAAAACAAAATAAAAAACGTAGAAATGGCAATGAGTCACATGGCTACCCACTATTTGGATATTATACTTTTGGAATTGTTATAATCATGTTAAAAATATAAACAGAAATAGACAATAATATGGTCGACTGGACAATAACAGTCAATGCCTCTCTGAAGATGGCACAGAGTCAAAACACATTTGAATAACATCTAAACCCGCGAGTGTGGACCCAGTACAGATTCAAAATGTAAAATGAAAAACTCCTTGAAATTCTTACTAATTGTAACCATTTAGATTATTGATTTCTTTCGGTTATGGTGTGTCATGGTCACCGAACATGCTCCATGTGAGAAACTTTGACAATAAGCCCTTTGAGGGGGAGTGTCGGTGGCTGTAACGGTTTAGGCGTTGACACGGCGCTCATCACTGTAAGGTAAAGGTCCCGGGTTTGAATCCAGCGGCCCTGCATTTGAACCCGACATACTTACAAATGGGCTTTTAAAAAAAAAAAAAACAACGGCACCCCGAGGGTTGATATTACCTCTGCTGTTAAGAACCCTCGAGAAAAAAGAAAAAAGAAAAAAAAGCCCTTTGTGAAGTAAGTAGAGGGCTAAGATTAGGCCAGTAGTTTCAGGTGACCAAAAGGTTACTGCTACCTATGTATAATAGCAGCACCAAACAATTGATTCAAATGGGTTCATTATTAAGTTATTGTAAATGTCGGCAATCTTAGTGCCATATTGGCCACAAAGTATTTGCTGGTAATCCGAGGCAGAAATGTATGTATGTGTAATGTTCCTCCAAGAATCGGAACAGGGGACCCAGATACTTGCTGCCCCAATCAAGCACATTCTTATATCAGGCGGCATTCCTCTCTATATGGAGCCAAGGAATTGCACCTTTCAATTAGGTGGTCACATCGAGCAACCTTTCTCTGCTTGTCAGACATGGGTTTTGGCCCAAAAGTGTGTTCATGTGTTAACATCACTCACTTGGCCTGTTCTCAATCGGGTCATTCGACCCTTCTACAAGTTAGCTCCTCTGAGGACTAATTATGAGAGTTTCTCTGCCAATTTTAATCTTGTTTTTATTGTATTTTCAGCGTAAGAGGGCCGGATCGTGGTGTTAAAGTCCAGAAGTTGGACATATAGTAAATAATAACACAAATAAAAAATATATCAAGGCTTATATAATATATACACAAATGTTAAAAAACTTAATATTTGAAATATGATCTTTAAAAAGGTTTACTTTTTATAGTAATCCTGCTCAAAGTAAGAGGAAGCGTAATAACATTGTAAATATTGACACCATAGGTTGTAACAATTTTAAAGTTAAGTAGGCTTTGAAAAGCAGGCAACCATATGACACTTTTAATTTTTTGTAAATATAAGGTAATTAAGGATAATCTTTTAAACAGTAAAAAATGTAATAATATAAAAGAATATATAATTTAAATAATTTTTTCCAGAAATAAAAGTGCCTGTTTCTTACACAGGATGCCAAAATCTCCTGAACCAAATAATTATAATTTTTTAATCTATTTACCATGCTTCTAATAAATGGCCTAATAGAAATAATTTAATAGCCAGATATTTTACAAATGTATCAGCTTCGCTTATGTACAGGGTGTCAGGCAGTTGACGACACAAACTTTGCCAGTGAATTTCGCACCTCCAGAGTGACAAAAAAGTTCAAATGAATCATGGGTTCAATTCTCAACTCTTTCGCAGATATTCAATTTTTTTTTTTCTACTATCCACCTTTTTCGTTGTGAATTTCTTGAACTATTTGTTTTTGGGAAAATAAAACAAAAAAATTGAAAAAAGTTTATATTTCCTTTAAAAAGGCACCCTTTAGAACTTTCAATTAGTGCTAATTAATTTTTGTTAAAAAAACTAAATCTTTCAAAAACTTCTAAATAGAAAATTTGTAAAAAAAATGTCCACCCTCATTGTAAAAATATATAAGCTTGGAAAATTTCATAAAAACTTCTTCGTTTAATAAGCTTTCTAATGGTATATAATTTTCTTTAATTACATCAAACCAAAATGCAGAAATTTTATTCTAATGTGAAAAAAGTGGTGATGGTGTGAAAAAGGGGTGTGGTTTTGATGTAGTAATTCATCTTTTTGTTCTGGATAAAATTTATATCTTAACTTTAACATAATAAAAAAATAAAAAAAACACAAAAAGAAAGAAAAATGAAACAAAACACATACAAAAGATAGAGTTAGGAAGTAGATTTGATTGTACATGATGTTTATTGTCTCTTTTTGTATATATTCTTTTTTATTTTTAAGCGAATTTTCCTTTTTTGCGTGTTTTTTTATTAGGTTAAAGTCTTTTTTATATACGATTTTTTGCCTGTGTTTTGTGTAGATATTTTATTTAATTTTACCACTTTGGTTGTTTGCTATGTTTATTGTTTCCTTTTTTTATATGTTTTGTTTCATTTTTCTTTCTTTTTGTGCTTTTGCTTTTGTTAAAGTTGAGAAATAAATTTTTCCCAGTACAAAAAGAATTGCTACATTAACCCTATTCTCTTTTTTCATACTATCACCACTTTTTTCCCCATTTAGCATAAAATTTCTGCATTTTGGTTTGATGTACTTGAATAAAATAGTTTACCACTAGAAAGCTTATTAATCAAAGAAGTTTTTATGAAAATTGCCAAGCTCTACCATGAATTTTTCCAATGAGGTTAGAAGTTTTTGAAAGATTAAGTTTTTTTAAACTTAAATTGAAAGTTCTAAAAGGGTGCCTTCTTAAAGGCTATTTAATGATTTTTTTTATTTCTCCAAAAACAAATAATTCAAGAGCTATGAATAGATTTACCAGGTAAAATGTAGATAGATGGAAATAACATAAAAAGTTGAATATCTACGAAAGGGTTAAGAATTGGACCATGATTCATATGAACTTTCTTGTCACTCTGGAGGTTTGAAATTCACTGGCAAAGTTTGTAACGTGTGTTGCCTGACACCCTGGATTTGTTCGTAATTGCATTGTAATTGATGATCTGATGATGATCAGATATTTCTTCAAATCATACTTCCATTCATTGTTCAAATTTTATTCAGAATATTTTTGAATATTTGAAGAATATTGCAGATTTGGAGCATTTTTGATTACTTAATAACAGATAAATAAATTAGACATAAAATATAAATTTGATTTAGAATTCAGACAACTTTCCAAAAACGAAGATGTGAACAAACTCACACAATAGAATTTTCTTGAAATAATCAGCATCTTATTTTCAACCTACTAGGTGCAGTTTTTGCACTTACTTTTAATATATTCAGGAGACGAGTCTAAATTTTTTGTCCAGTATGTCAATTTGCCTGAATCCAGATTGAAAGAATAACTGAAAGTTTGACTAAACTGAGTGTGTGGAGCCACACCCCAGTTTTTTCTTCAATTATGTCAATTTTCTATTGTATTATCAGCGAAATGATATGAAAATGATGTGATGATTTAATTTGGAAACAAACACTAATGTGATGATAATTTTACTGGTCCTAATTAAATCTATTATTTGCTGTGAAGATAAAATGTTATCAATGCCAAATAAACGCTACCTTATCTTATGGCATGTAAACTCTATGAATTGTCTTGAAACTGTTTTATTTAATAAGAAATGAGAAAATGTCAAAAAAGAGGTATTATAAAAAAGAGTTTACACTGAGAAATCGTCTGATCCAAATTTATAGAAGAGTGGTTGAACACTGCAGCATTGTAAAGCACAAATTCCATTCAAGGCATGACAAATATTCACGATTGATTTCTGAAGAGGAACAAAGGTAATTAAATAGGACAAATGATATTAACAGTAAATTTAGGGGCGGCAGTGGTTTAGGTTTTGATACTTATCATTGTAAAATACGCCCACTTTATCAGTATAGGTGTCCCAGGTTCAAATTCAGAGGCCCTGCATTCGAACTCAACATATTTACAAATGGGCTTTTTTCAAAAACAACCACACCCAGAGGGTTAATATGACCGTTAACTAATAGTGCCACACTTTCTTTACAATTTCTTGTAATACAGCCATCCCGAAGAATGCCTCATTCTTCCTTCGTTAGGAACAAACATTTATGCATTGTAGTCTCAGTACTCTGAATGTCCACCTCATTTCGTACACATTTTGGTTGGCTGAGAAGAAATTTTTTAGCTTGAAAATACATATTTTATGTATTTTTCAGTTACTTGTAAATTGTATTAATGGCCAATTATGAAGTATTGCCCACAAACTACTCTTAATTTTGCAGCACTTTCACCCTTAAATTGTGAGATTTTCTCTTGAAAATTGCCAGATGATGGACCTGCAGTTTGGTATTCCTTTTCTCATTGTTTTTAATAATTATCTTAGTTTAAAAAAATTAAATCTGAAGCTATTTGGGTAGAAAGTTCATTACATCATATATCGCCAGACCAGCACTCATTACACTCACATTACACCTTAGAGCTACCACCCCTAAGAGATCCTCGCATAATAGTAAACGGTCCTCTAAGTTAACGGGAGTTTAGCTTAGGGTTAACAACTCTCTCTTGTTTAAAATAAAAAACATATAAAAAATAGAATTTAATTAAAAATAGAATTTGAGTTTGAAATCCATTTAAAAAGGGACAACTTAAGTGAGGACATGGAAATTGCCATTGGATAGCGATTTAGAACATAGTTTAGGAAAAGTAGGAGCACTGAAGAATCTGAGAGATGGATTAGATAGATGTGGCATAATGATTTCAGCAGTTGAAATAAATAAGAAGTTTCCATTGAGAACTGGAAACAGTATTCGACTGATTTCAAATGCAAATCAAAATGGAGAAATGCACCTGACAGACTAAAATGATCAGAAATGACCAAACTAAACTACTTTCCTCTTTGTCCAGCCTTTTCAAAACTTCCAGCTTGTGTTTTTGTAATTAATAATTTTTTGTTATTGGAGTGTTGTTTGTAAACACCCCAAGACATATGAACTTATTTTTTGTCTAGTTCCTCTAAAATTTGATCCAACTCTTCAGGATAGTGATGATATATAATAGGGGCTTAACTATTTCAAAAAGCAATTGTAACATTGAATTTTCGACTGTGCGAACAATTTTTAATTTGGAAGTTTTGAAAAATGTGAAACAATTTACTATCAATTAAAATGATTTTTTATGTCCATATGATTTACATATTAGACAGAGTACACGTATGTTGATATTTCAGCATATATAGATTTTGGGGGGGGGAAGGGGAGGGTGAAAAAAGGCCAGGGATGGCCAATGGGAAACCCATAACCATGAGCTGAGAATCGTACTGACCACTCGACTATCATGGCCCCCAATTTAAATGATAAATAAATTATTTCTCGGTGAAGATTATGTTTGTACAAAAAACAATGTTTGGAAATAATTTTTTTGCGAATAACTTAAATAAGTTCTCCATACCTAAAAACTGTTTGCAACATTGAAAATTCTTGCAAAAAATGTGTTTTGATCAGTATATTTTATGTAAGGTATTGGTTGAGATAAAAAAGTCAGTGTCACGACCGGGATTCGAACTCACGATCTTCGGCTAAATATGCTGCTGCTCTACCACTTGAGCTGTCGTGACTTTGATCCACTTGGACACTTCCCATCTCAACCCAACCTTTTGAATTTTCCCTCTTTTTTGCCATGCTACCACGAAATCTAATGGATTGATCAGTATATTGTCATTTGAAAAAGTTAAGCCATTTGCGGCTATCGTGAAGAGTTATAACTAAACTCGTGAAAAGTTAGACAAAACATAAAAGTTTACTTAAAAAAAGGGGGCAAAAGTTGAATTCATCCTGTATAATCCTTAATACTTATGTTTCTGTACAAAATATAAAAATATAAACTAATTCTGATTCTATACTAGATGGTTGGATGAATGTGCCGCATTTGAGGCCAAACGATTGCCCGCCTGGCTTGGAATACCTGACTACTCTTGATCAGCTTCTCGTTCACCAGAAAGTTGAATTGCTTGAAGGTAAACGTGCTAGATTCGATAACAGAAAACATTTTAATTGTTGGTTATTCAGCTTTCACAGGTTTCGAGACAAAAAATAAGTTCACGGTGAAAAACAGTTTGGGCCAAAAGGTTTATTATGCAGTCGAAGATTCTGGTTGTTGCAACAGATTGTGTTGTGGAACCAACAGACCTTTTGAAATGAAAATCCTGGACAACTTTAAAAATGAAGTGATCCACCTAGTCCGCCCTTTAGCCTGCCAGTCATGTTTATTCCCTTGTTGCATGCAGGTAATAATTATCAATTTTGAACTGTTAAGTAAATGTTTGTACTGATAAACTTTTCTTTTGTGAAGCACATGGAAGTCTTCTCACCGATCGGATGCTTGGTCGGGAGTGTGCAGCAGAATTGGAGCGTATTTACACCATCCTTTGACATAAAAAATGCTGCAGGTGATACGGTTCTTAAAATTGAGGGGCCAATTTGCACGTTCAGCATTTGTGGTGATGTTGAATTCAAGGTTAAAAAAACTGATTTTTTTTTTTAAATTTTGGCTTAGTACAATATACTGTTATAAATCGACAAATCGTCTATTAGCTTTAATTCCAATTTAACAAAGTTTCTGCTTGATTCTTTTTAGATCCTAGCACTTGACGGTGCGACTACAGTTGGAAAAATCACTAAACAGTGGAGTGGGTTATTGAGAGAGGCTTTCACAGATGCAGACTATTTTGGCGTCACATTTCCTGTAGACCTAGATGTCAGAATGAAAGCAGTGATGCTTGGAGCATGTTTCTTGATTGTGAGTCATTTCCATATGGTCAAAAAAAAAAAAAAATATTCGAAATACAAAAAAATTTCAAAATTACAAAAAAATTCAAAATTACAATAGAATTTTAGTCAAAATTAAAACCGAGCTTATAATAAAGCCCTTTAACTTTTTAGGATTACATGTTCTTTGAGAAGATTAACAACAAGGAAAATGGATTCTGTGGATTATGGTAAATTCTTCTGTGCATCTAAACCATGATAAGTCATAAGCATTCAAAACTCTTAACTTAAACTTAAAATTCTTTCCTATTTTTGAAAAATGTACAGCCTTTGCATTTATGCTGATAATCATACAATAAGATATTTCATATATTTATCGATGATTTGTATCATTTATAGTTTTTTACGCTTTATTTAATTTATTTAAACACATAAAATAACATATGCTTTTACCTCTTAAAACATACCGCAAATAATTAAATAAATAATGCATATACCAAATTATAATAAGTGTATGAATATATTAAAAAAAGCAAATGTTGACAATATAATTTAATTTATCTAAAAAAAAAATTCTGTATTTATACATGCGTATGCAAGTTAATTAAAACAAAAAAAAATATATTAAACGTTAAATTTTTCTCTTATGACTATTGACTCTCATTCCTTCTTTGAACCCAATTGCTTTCTTAAAAAACTTCCACAGACCATAGATGATTACAAATTTGAAAAATGGTGCTGTCATAATTTCAACAATACAGTAAAACCAACTTTAATTGAAAAGAGAAGCTCAGAATATTTTGTAACAGATTGATTTTGTTATTTAATTTTTTAAAGCACCTGTTTTCAATAAAGCACCTGTTCACTTGACATTGTCTTTTATCTCACATCTAAATAAAATAAATGAATTACTTTATCTTTTAGATACCTAATACGATAGATAGATAATATCTTAGAACAATTGAGATAATTTGGCAGTGTGAAGCTATCATTAAAAAATAATTACCTAATTATTACATTTTCTGTTTATATTTGTTCATAAATGCTGCATAAAAGTTCTGAATAATGAGTTTTCTTGCGAGACCGTACCTACATGAATTACATCGCCTTAAATATTCACAATTTAAAAAAAAAAATCCAATTTTAAAATTTGGAAATGTCAAAATAAAATAAGAGGAAAAAGAACATCCGCAATTAAGTTTTGCAAAAGTTAAACTGTTGATTGTATCATTTTAATAAATGTTGAACATGTGGTAATGTTTGGAACAAGTGTTTTCTTGTTAAAATAAATTATATTGTATCAAGCCAAATAGCAAAGGTTCCAGGAAATAAGAACTTAACAATTAGTAGTAATAAATAAATAACTCATAAATCATAAAACTCATCGCTAGGGATGCTCATTGATAGGGAAAAGACTATGGACACACTGTATTTAGTTTTGATATTATATTAACTACTGTAAATTTATTTATCAAAAATGGTGAAATTTGCTTTAAAAACAGGGTTCGAATGCGCAGAGCCATTTAAAAAAAAAATTATGATATATGAGATTTTATTTAAATGTTTCATACATAGGTTTCCCCCCATTAAATTATTCATACATCAAATTATTTACCCAAAAAAAATTAAATTAAGTTTATCAGTTCAGTCCCACGTAAAACTTCCAACAATCTGCACCTTTTGACAATCACCTAGAATTTCCCATAAACCATATTTGACCCATAGAAGCACATATTTTCCACAAAGCAGGCAAATGCTTTATAGTTACTACCTCTCTGCGTGTCATTGAGCCGGCAGTTCCCTAGCCAGGTGCCCATGGCCTGAAGTGACCGATTCACAACCTAGCAAGTACGATTTCTTCCTATCTGTATTTTAGGATTGCTGTTTTCCATTGTCACCAGCTGTAATTTCCAGTTATTTTAGTTTCTTTGAAATGATTGTTAATATCTTTGGGGGACTTTTTCTATTAGAAATCCTTCTTTAGCACCCATTTTGGCAACACAATCAGCCTGTTCATTTCTGAGTATGCCACTGTGTACTCGTATCCATAAAAAGCTTACCTCTATTATTTTAGATAAATTTTTTATAACTATTAAAATTTCCTGACTTACTGGATTGCCTAGTCTTTAATAGAAAGATTGCTTAGAGGGTCAGAACTTTTGTAGTACGGAAGTAGAAAATGTTGAGGTCTTTATTGCTAGCAACTCTGCACAAGTTGTAGAGAGAAAAATTTACTTTTTTATTCTTATAAAAAGGCAGCACCTACTCTGTCAGTGCTCCTTGACCCATCCATATAGATCAATTGTGATGGGAAAGCAGCTTTTACATGAATACAATAAGCATTTTGTATCTCTGCATGGGTGGAGTTGATCCGATTAAAAGGCTAGTTTTGTATCACAATTATTTTCTTATTAAAATTGAACATTTTAGCCGATTTTCGATTACAAAAGTGAACATGAAGAACAGTATGCTCTGCCAAACTCAGTTACTGTCTTCACTGCGGAATTAACCGCCATAGCTAAAGCGCTTGAATATATAAAAAAAGGAATGAAACTAAATTCTGCATATTAACGGCCTGTCGAAGCGCTGTAGATAGTATAAGTAATGTATCCCCAAGCTGCAAAGTTAATAATTATATCATTGCTGATGTTTACCGAAAGATCTTTGAGCTAAAAAAAGATGGAAAAACTGTGATAATATGCTGGATTAAAGGTCATGCGGGTATTCTTCATAACAAAACAGTGGACGCGTTGGCGAAGGAGGCCACTGTATATGGTGTACCCCCATCAGTTGAAAGTTCCTAAAACAGACGGAAAAATTTTTTTCAACAAATTGTGTTCCAATCTATGGGATAAAGAATACAGCTCAGCAACAGCTGGCAATTACTATCGAGCTTTATTTCCAAAGCTTAAAGCAAAGCCGTGGTTTTTGGAAGGAGGCAGGCAAAAGGAATTCTACTCTACTATTTTCAGAATCAAAACTAATCATGGCCTGTGGGGGAGTTATAGGCATAGAATTGGAATAACCACTTCCCCTAACTGTCCAACATGCGACAGTCCATCAAATCCCAGTCATCTAATATTAGAATGCCCAAAGTACGATAACCAGAGGAAACAATTATTGGATGATCTGTATAGGGACCCCGGTATAATGGGCCCAATAAATCTTGAAACACTGTTGGCAAATAACAACATGAAGGTCTTGGATTTAATTTATAAATTTCTTAAATCAATCAACATTTCCTTTTAACGTCCGGGAGAAGGATAAAAAAAGCTAGCATAAATATTTCATTTGTTATCAATTTTTTTATAATTATAAGACCTATTTAGGGTACAAATTTGCAAAGTGCTTTCCAACATTTTCTTTTACTTACAAACCAACCACTGAGATACGACTCTCTGAACTTAAAACTATGCTTAAAAAGAAATCATCAGTGGGCTGGATCAGCAGAGAAGATCTTACATATCAGGAGCTCAGTTGATAGGCGGCTCTCGGTGTATATAAATCAAAGAGGGATTGTACTCAATTGACTAAGAATAGGCCACAGATGCCTTTACTGCCAAAGCCTATGTACGTTTCTGATTGATGCTCAGTCCTATAAAATTGAAGGGTGTCATTCCTTGGCTGTATTTAGATAATGAGTACGGATGATATTGAAAATATTAAATTGATTAAATAAAATATGCATAGTTTCAATTCATGTAAAATGAGATGGTTGTGCTAGAGGTGGTGAGCATGGCAGGTCATTGTCCTTGAGCACAGCAGCAAGTATTTGGGTTCCCTATTCTGACTTGGAGGAAGCAGGGCTGTTTTATTGTATTAAATAAATATCTCAATTCGCGGACTCTCCCCCTGCTCGCCAGTCCATTTGTCATCGGCCATTAAACTTCTGCTGCATAAGGGGGTCAGGCTGATGCTACAGGCATGCCTTTTCTGAAGTCTCACTTGCAAGAAGGCTGCAGGCTGTACAGAATAAGTTTCTGAGGCTTGAGACTGGCCTCAATATTTCAGAAGTGCAAAATGTGACAAACATGCTGACGGCGTGGAACATGTCTGAGAAGTAATATTAATTTTTTTAAGGCTATTACTAGCACAATCTGATGCCAAATTGGTAACTATAGTTTATTTTTTTATATTTATTTATGTATTTATTTTTTTATTCCTGGACCACCGAGACAACAGGAGACCATTGTCATCAGTAATACTCTATTTATAGTCTGGTCAGTACCATTTCCTCCAAACATTTTTTTTTTTTTTTTTTTTNTACTGCAACATTTTTTAAATTTTTTTTTGGCATCAAAAAATTATACAGCCATGTTACAAAGAATATATACAATTTAAACAGTTCATATTATATTTCCACAGTCACAGCATTTAAAAATTTTATTATCAAGTGTGTGGTAATTAGTGACCGTTAGTCGAAGATTCTCACGATTTCTGAATAATTTTATTATCAAGTTCTACACACTGGGATTCTTGAATAGAGGTCTACTTTCCGTAGTTGGGTGTTCTACTCCTTCTTTCTCCAGATCCTGGTAGAATTTATTTCTGGCTGACGAATGTTGGCTAAAGTGAAACATTGTGTGCGTTAGGTCCTCCTTTGTGTGTGTTGTTTTATGCCAATATTGTGAAGATACGCTGCGCAGATGCCATGGTTTGTTTTTAACCAATGTATGGTGGTTGTATTTTTTTGCCATGTCTTGTTTGTTAAACCACGGTTTTCTTTTCACAAGTGGAAATAATGTTTTATAAGCCATTCCCTTACCTGAGGTAGAATATTCAATTTGCCATTTTATTTGAATTCTTGTTTCCAATATTTGAAAAAGGTCTGTATAAGGGATCTTTATGATTCAAGGTGTGGCATTTTTTGCAAGTTTGTCGGCCTGTAGGTCCTTTAATCCACACGAAAGAGACCTTTTTTTTAAAAAAAGTGGAAAAGTTGTTAACAATCTTTTTTGTCAGCTACAAAATAATTTTTGATGTTAATAACTGTGTTTTGCAAGCACTAGATTGCACTGAGGCTCTCTGTGCAAATTATAATGTGATTCGTTGTAGGAAGGTTGAGTGTAAAGAAAGTTAACTCTGCCTTAATTGCTAATAATTCTGCCGAATAAATTGATATCGGCAGAGGAATTGATTCCCTTTTATTGATGCTAGGGCAGAACCAGGAGCATCCAACCTTACCAGACCTAACCAGTCTCGGCTTGTTAGTGGCTTTGATTTCTCTCGATTAATTTTTCATTATCTTTGCCCATTTTTTCCCCCATTTTTAGTATATTTTGCTTTCGATATACAATAGTTATTAGTTAGGACGACAGGTACTTCGACAGGAGAATAAAGAATATGTATTAATAATTTTATTGTAACAACCAGGTGGAGGTAAGTGTCACTAGATAAAAACTCCAATAAAATATTTTATTCAATGTATATATGTATATATGTATAAATAAAAAATTTCTATTCTGTTCTGACAGATATCTCATGTATTGTAAATTGAGAGGAGCAGAATATTGAGTACCCCATCGACCCTTAGATTAGTAGTAGGCATAAATGATGGACTCTACGACCCTGCGTGAGTGAAGGATATTTAAATAGGAAATAACGTATTTAAAAGTGAGTGAGAGTATGAGTATGTTTAAATTTAAAACCTGCATGCTTTGGGAATTGAAATGACCTAGCTGTTGACAGCCCTCAAGCC